CCAAAATGATTCGGCCCCCGTCCCCCCTCGTAGGCACGGAAGGTTCCCTTTCAAAGCTGGGCTCTCCCTTGAGTGGTACTTATAGTTGATGCTGCTATTGTTGGAATTGGCGGTGTTGTTGGTGTTGTTGATGTTGATATTGTCGTTGCTGTTGGTGTTGTGGTTCTTGGTGTTGTTGTTCTTGGTATCATTATTCCCCGTAGGGACTCCCCCATGGGACTCCCCCGTGGGACTCCCCCATGGGACTTCCCCGCATAGGACTCCCCCATAGGACTCCCCCACAGCAGACGCGCCTGCGTTCAGAGCAGTTTCTCAGGATGTCTCAGGCGAGGCGCTTGTTTCAGAACCACACGGAGACCAGATTTGCGAGAACGTCTCAGGCGGTTTGCTTGCTTCGGCGGGCAGACTCGTCTGCGTTCAAAGCAGGTTGCGAGGTGCCAGGGTAACGCTTCCAGGGTGCCGGATGCGTTCGTTATACTTTCGCCAGAGAGGGGGGGGTCTTAATCGCTTACTCGGGTCAGGTCAGACAGACAAAGAGCAGCGAAGATCGTTGCGTTTGATGGCGCGCAACAAAAAATACGCCGGCCCCTTTGGGGACCGACGGGCCTGAGGCCCTCTCTGAAGGAAGCCTCGGAGCCTCTGGGAGGGGCAACGCGGCCTCAGAACCTCTGGAAGAAGGCCCAAAGCGCCTGGAAGAGGCCGCCTCGGAGCACCCGAGAGAGGCATCGGGGCTGGGAGAGGCCCCAGCGCCCCTGGGAGAGGCCTGGAGGCCTCCTGGAGAAGCCTCAGAGACTGAGAGTCCTTAGGGCGCCTCTGGGAGAGGCTCCGGGTGCCTCTGGGGGAGGAGGGCTCGGAGCCCCTCGAGGAGGCCTCAGGCCCTCCCGGAGCGGCCTCGGGACCTGTGAGGGAGGCCACAGGACTTCTGCCAACAGCATCCGCCACCTGACCATCCGAGAGGTCGCTTAGTAGTCGTCGGCGACGACCCAGGCTATCCGACGAGGGGGGAGGAGGCCACAGGACTTCTGTTCTCAGCGACCGCCACCTGACCATCCGAGAGATCGTTTTTTGATTTTCGGCGGCGACCTAGGCTGTCCAGACTTTTCGCTCTAGGCAGCCCATGCCCGCGCGCACCGATACTGCGTACCCACTTCGGACCTGTGCAACTGACAAGGTCGGGTTATCCAAAGGGGGAAGGGGGAGGGCGTGCGGGCCCGATGGCCCGGGTTATCGCCGGACCCGAAAAAAGTCTCCGAAGAAAGGACCTCCTGATAGAGCGCCGAGTGGTTTTCACCTTTCCTCTGAAAAAGTCCATCGGAGCTCTCTGAGTTGGCCAGGAGATCGCGTGCCTGACCCTCACTCGAGGGCCAACTTGTTACAGAGGGTAGTCGGCACCTCAGCTGGCGGCAGCCCCGCGCCATCGTTGCAGCACACATGAACCGCAGTCTCTGATGGCGATGTAGGAGAAGCCGCCTGATGCTGTCAAAGCCATAATCGTTGACAGATGTCCGGCCGCTTCCTGGCACGCTCAAGCTCTCGCCACCAACCTGGAAGATAGTGCGCACAACTTGCAGCTCGCCGCTCGCTGCAATTCGTGACGCCACAGGCGTCCTGGAAGCAGAAGACGCCTGTGTCCGCTGGGAGGCTCGCCGAGCTCATGGTGTAAACGTTGCTGGTGGAATCTGGGACAACCTCGAGCACAGACGTTGCGCTCAGGTCGCTCTCATCCGCGACAGTGAGTGATCGGCTAACTGGGATACCAACCTGGTCGGCAAACGGCGTGCAGAACAAGACGGCCAGCGTACCTGAGAACCTGGACATTGTAGATCTCAGGGCCTCACCCGACCTTTCCCCCTCCAAATCCTCCACCACAGCCAACATTGTCGCATCGCCCGTAGGCCCGAGGGTCCTGGGCCATGTTCACGACCATGCATCTGCCGTCTTCCCCACCGCCGCCGTTCTCCGAGTCGCTGCATCAGACGATGACAACATCCGCAGCCAGAACAACGGCGGTGATTGATCAGAGATACCAGAGGTCTCGCCAGCGGTGAAAGCCGACAGAAGCACCAGCAGCACGTCTGCCCAGAAGCACCTCTTCTCCTGCTGCGACGCGAGCGCCCAGCACGACGAGCAGCCCGGAGCGGGCCGCAAGCACGACCGACAGGTTCGCGGCCCGTGCAGTCGATGGCACGTGTGAGCCGAAAAGTTCTCTGGGCAAAATCCTCCTCCTCCTCCTCCTCCTCCTCCTCCTCCTCCTCCTCCTCCTCCTCCTCCTCCTCCTCCTCCTCCTCCTCCTCCTCCTACTCGTTCCCTTCCTCCCTCCCTCCCTCCTCCCTCCCTTGTCCTCCTCCATCTGCTCCTCCTGCTTCTCCCTCCCTCGCTCCCTCCCTACAAATCTCCGAAGGCTGGGACCGTCAAAATCCGCCAAGGCCCAAAAAACGGCCCCTGGGAAGGGTTCGAGAGCTCCTGGGGCTGGCGGCCTGAGAAAGCAGATCGTCTGAGGTGCATGGGCCATGCCTAGCGATTGCTCAATGACTCGGAGTCCGCGCGTGGCACATGGCAAACAATCGACGCGTGCGCTTACCAATCGTATGCAAGTATGATGCACCAGTCCAGGTTCAAGGGAAACGAATCAGCGACTGAAGCGAGACGCATCACAAGACCAGAGGCAAGTGTGCATAACGCACGTGGCCTCAAGCTCCATGGCGGTGTTGATGGGTGCTCCCTCGGGAGACTGTCCACAGCCTGCAGCTGGTCAAGCAGGTGCCTGGCCAGGCCCCCTCGTCACGGCCCCCTCGTGATCTCCTCTCATGCGAGGCTTCATTCCACCTCCTGCCACTCCTCTCTCGTTTCCTCCTGATCATCATCCGTCATTTCCCCTCATTATCATCCTCATCCTCCTCTTCATCCTTCTCTCATGCTCATCCTCATCATGCTCCTGCTCCTCTCCGTCCTCCTCTTCTTCCTCCTCCTGATCATCATCATCGTCATCAGCAGCATCATCATCAGCAGCAGCATCATGCTCGTCCTCATCCCTCTCCTACTCATCTTCATCATCGTCAGCGTCATCATCATCCGTATCCTCAGAATCATCCATGTTATTATCATCAACTGCATCATCACCACCATCAGCAGCAGCAGCATCATCCTCATGATCATAATGATTATCATCCGCGCTCACTCCTCTTCCTCGTGCTCCCTCCTATCCTGTCGCAAGAAAAACTTACTACTTGCATCCGAGCCGAATCCAAAATGAGCGTCACAGGGGGGAGCGGCCACGAGAAGAGGAGAGGCATGCGGACAGGCAGAAGGGAAAGGATACAGTCGGGAAATGTTGGATAGCGTGTCGCCGCGGCGGCCCTGGCAACACGCCATGCCCTGTGAGCTAATAGCAAGTCGCTCCGCTCCGCGGGGCGGGAGGCTGGGAAAGGCTCGGGACGCAGACGCCTGGGGACTGGGACATGGAAAGCGCTTCGCGCCGAAGCGTGGTGGGCCACAACCGGCGGAGCGACACGCGAAGCCAAAGCTCCTGACCATTAGGGAGCACTGCCTGGGAAGAGAACCCTTACAAATCCGCCGACCCTGTCGGCGTGTGTGAGGGGCTTTTCCGTTCGAGCCGTCATCTCCGTCATTCTTTGTACTCGTCGTCTCTGTCCTTCCCTTTCCCTGGGACTCCTCTTCCCCTGGGCTCCAGCCAAGCCGACCTTGAGCAACCTCGTAATTGAGTCGAAGGGAAGCCCCTTCCCTTTGATCCCTCCCCCGCCGGGAGGGGGGGGGGGGTAGCGACCCCCCCCCCGGGTCAGATACGACGCCCCCCCCTGGGACTCCTCTTCCCCTGGGCTCCAGCCAAGCCGACCTTGAGCAACCTCGTAATTGAGTCGAAGGGAAGCCCCTTCCCTTTGATCCCTCCCCCCCCGCCCAAGGGGGGTCCTCGGGTCAGATACGACGCCCCCCCCTGGGACTCCTCTTCCCCTGGGACCTTGAGAAAAGTCGTAATTGAGTCGAAGGGAAGCCCCTTCCCTTTGATCCCTCCCCCGCCGGGAGGGGGGGGGGGGGCGACCCCCCCCCCGGGTCAGATACGACGCCCCCCCCTGGGACTCCTCTTCCCCTGGGCTCCAGCCAAGCCGACCTTGAGCAACCTCGTAATTGAGTCGAAGGGAAGCCCCTTCCCTTTGATCCCTCCCCCGCCGGGAGGGGGGGGGGGTAGCGACCCCCCCCCCGGGTCAGATACGACGCCCCCCCCTGGGACTCCTCTTCCCCTGGGCTCCAGCCAAGCCGACCTTGAGCAACCTCGTAATTGAGTCGAAGGGAAGCCCCTTCCCTTTGATCCCTCCCCCGCCGGGAGGCGAGGGGGGGGTAGCGGGGGGCGGTAGCGACCCCCCCCCCAGGTCAGATACGACGCCCCCCCCCCGTACCGACCTTGAGCAACGTCGTAATTGAGTCGAAGGGAAGCCCCTTCCCTTTCCCTTCCCCGCCGGGGGAGGGAGAGGGGGTCCCGGGGGGGGTCCCGGGGGAGTCCCGGGGAAGTCCCGGGTCAGATACGACACCTCCCTCCCCCACCTTCTCGTCCTTCTCCCCGTTCCCCAAAACCATCCCACAGCCCGTGCCTCTTGCTGCGCATTGCGAACAGGGTCGGCGGCACCGGCCGTCAGGCCTTCGCAATACATACGCTTGCCACCAGAGGGCCCTCCCAGTCCGCGCCCAGGCGCTCCAAAAGAGACTCCCCAAAGGGCCCCCCAGGGAGACACGAGCCAGCCGGTGGACAGTCTTCAGATAGCTCCGAGAGAGAGAGAGAGAGAGTGCGCGCGCGTTTCGCGAGCGCCTGGGCGCGAAATAGTTCTCGACACGTCGAAAGCCGCCCCCCCCAACACCCAACATCCAAGGCACTCGGCGAACCAGACCCCCCCAATTCACACTGAACCCCCCATTCCCACAACGACGTCTTCGCCGTCGTCGCCGTCGTCGTCGTCGTCCTCCTCCTCCCTACCACCCCAGGTGGAGGTCGTCGTCGTCGGTCGTCGGTTGTCGGTTGTCGTCCGTCGTCGTCGTCGTCGTCGTCGTCGTCGTCGGCGCCAGAGAGGGGAGGGGGACCCCCACCCCGTTTCGGGGGAGAAGGACCCTCAGTTTTCGGGGGAGGGGGCGGCGGCGTGAAACCTCCCCCACCCCCCTCCAGCGACCACAGAACGCGCTCTTCCACAGCTCAGAACGACCGCCCCGAAGACTGCCCCCAGACGGCCCCGAGACTCTGAGACTCCCCCGGACATCGGCTCCAGGACCCCCGGGGACAGGCCCAGGAATAGAGTTCGGAGCTCACACCCGCTCCTCGCCGCCACATCCACCAGCCCGCACCAGGAGGAAAGGAGGAAGAGATAGAGAAGGAGAAGGAGAAGGAGAAGGTAAAGGAGAAGGCAAAAGAGAAGAAGAAGAAGAAGAAGATGAAGAAGAAGGCAAGGCTCCGAGCCCGAGCTCCCCCCACGCTTCGTCATTACGTCAATCAGCCCCTCCGCCCCCCTCTTCTCCTCCGCCGCCGCCTCCTCCTCTTCCTCCACCTCCTCCGCCGCCTCCTCCTGCCACGACTGCCGTGCCCCGCGAGGCGCGGCACTCGTCCGGCAGACAAGGACCCGGCCCTTCCCTCGCGGATGGCCGATCCGCTCCTCGGGCGCACGCCGACATGGCTTTACGGGGCTCCGTGGATCTGGCGCGTGGGCGCCAGACATCACGGCGGGCTGCCGTGCAGCTCCGACGGACAGAAAGCTGCGCCCGCCATTTTTCGGCACGCCAGGATCCCATGGAGTGCCCGTTCGGCTTCCACGGGAAAACGCGCCGCGGGCATGGCTGCGTCGTGCCGCCTTGGAGCGCGAGCCCCGCCCATGCTCAGACGGGCGCTCCGCGCGCGAACTCCCGATCCGCGGACCTGAGGTCCACGGATCGGAGAAGTTCCCCCCCGAGGCAGGGGGCCGACGCCGCCTGATCTGGCGGCGGGGCGCGCCGACTCCGCACGGAAACGGGACCCGTCAACCCACGCGCCTCGATCCGTGTCTGCGCCTCTCTTCGAGATCCGATCCCTGCGTCCCTCTCTCCCCTTCCCCCCCTGCGCCTCGTCATCACGTCCACCAGACCCCCAGCAAAGAGCCCTGGCATGGAGCACCACTCGCGCCGCCGCCCGAGAATCTCCACGCTCTCGGAGCGCAGCCACGCCTCCAGGGGAGCCGTCGGTGCCGCGCTGGTGCGCAGCGCGCGGACCACGCGGACCTCGCCGAGCTCCTGGGAGGGCGCCAAGCACTGATCATGGCCAGGCCCTTCCTGGGCCAGGGATTGGTGTTCTTCTTGGGCCACGAGTCGGTGTTTGCGGCCTACTGGCTTGGCCAGGAGGGCATCGGTATATACATCGGTGTACCATATACCATCGACCAGTTGGTAATAACAGATGTGTACATATACACACATGTCCACACCTTGAAGCATGTGCATACAAACAAGCAGGTAAGCATATAGGTAGGTATAAATATGTTGAGATGCAGACGTATCTATACATGCAAAACAGAAAGATCAGTGTAAATACATATATATATATGTGTGGGGTGTAAAGACACAGGTATACATATGTATATTTATATCTGGTAACTTAAATGTATGTATGTGTACATGTACATACGTATATGTAGATACACGTATATAATGATTAAGTGATAGACATGCACATATATATGTATATAAACACGTGTATATTTATTTACATATATATGTATATATATGTATGTATAGGTATATGTGTAGATATATCTATATGTATATATATATCTATACTAGAACCATCGCGCGCGCTTCGCGCGCGCGTTCAAGCTCTAGCTAGGCTTGATGGGCTAACTCATGTAATATCATGTTGGTCGCTTCTTGCGTCCAGGGACTCCCTTGGAGGCCCTGCGCAAGCCTCGGAATCGTATAGAAGGGGAAGTGCGGAAACGCAGAAATCATTCATTACTTTAAGGTGTTCAACCATTTGGGGCCCTCAAAGGCTGCCTGTGTTCTTTTTTGGGAGGTGAAGGGGGTCTGAATTGTGGTCTGTTGTGCAAGAATAGACCGGGGGGCTAACTTGGAAACAAAAAGAATTGTGGGCTTAACATTTGTTCCAATTCCTCGGCGCTGTTCGGCGCTGTTTCTTGTTTGTGCCTCGCGGGTTTTGTTAGCCGGCCCCTCAGGGGTGTGGGATCTTCCGGACCCCCTTGGCCTTCGGGAGGCCTCCTGGAGGCCTGCAGAGCCGTCGGAAAGGTGTCTCGGGCTGCGCGATGTTGGGCCGTTCTTTACGTTCTGGTCGCTCCTTGGGGTCGTCATGGCCTGTCCTTCGGCGTCTTGGGGTCTCCCCCCAGGAAGCCGGGAGGCGCGGTACCGGCCAGATGTCAGGGGATGTGTAGGACCCCCGAGTAGGAGTCCACTTTGAAGAAAAAACAAATTATGGGAGTTCCCTTTTTTTCAAAATCCTCGATCTTCGAGGGTTGCGAAGCAGGAAAACGTGAGAAGGCGAAAAGCATTAGAAAAACCAAGGGAAATCAACGATTTCACCCTCTTTGGGCTATCTCGGGACGGCTCTTGCAGTTCTCTTGGCTGTTCTTGGAGCCTCGTCGGGGTCTTTTTGGGGCCTCTCAGGGATCGGGGGTGTGTTGGGGGCCTCTGGGTGGTCCTGGAGGCCTCTCGGAGGTCTCTGGAAGCCTCCTGCTCCCGCTCGTGTGCCCATCTTGGGCCTGTTCTGGGTGGTCTGGGGCTGTCCTGGGTGCCTCTTCGGCAGTCTTGGAGCCTCCTTCGCCCGTGTTGGGGCCGTCCTGAGGGTCTCTTGGGTGGTCTTGGGGCGGTCTTGGGAGCCTCTTCGGCGCTCTTGGACCGCTGGAAGCTCGAAAACGCGAGAAGCCAAAAACACTGGAAAAAAATAAAATCGACGATGTTGGCCTCTTCGGGCCGTCCCGGGACGCCTCTCGGACCTCTCTTGGGGTCTCTTGGAGGCCACCTGGGAGCCTCGAGAGCCGTCGGAAGGCTGACTTGGGCTGCTTGGGAGCGTCTTGGGCCATCCTTTCGCATTCTGGGGGCTCCTGGGAGGCGTCTTGGGCCCTCCTGGAGCGCTGTGGAGGCTCCCCAGAACGCCTGGGGGAGCGGTCCCGGGAGCGTCCCCGAAATGTGGCGGGGAGGTGTTGCACCCGGGGCCCGGGGGGGCGGTATTTATTCAGTCATAGATTGTATAGATATGACGATAGATTATATATATATATATAGAGAGAGAAATGTAAATAGATAGATGGATGGATGGATAGATAGATGGACATATCTACACAAATACTTGTATATATACACATAGAGAAATAGATAGGATGCTGGAGAAACATCCCAAGCAAAGTCTTTTTAGGGCTATAGGGCTACAGGGCTATTGGGCTATAGGACGATGGGGCTATGGGGCTATAGGGCTATGAAACTAGATGGCTGAAGGGCCATAGGGCTATAGGTCTACAGGTCTATAGGGCTACAGGGTTATAGGGCTATAGGGCCATAAGGCTATAGGGCTGTAGGGCTATAGGGATATGGAGCTATGGGGCTCTGGGGCTATGGGGCTATAGGGCTATAGGACAATGAGTCTTTAGGGCTACGGGGCTATAGGGCTATAGGACCATAGGGCTACAGGGCTATAGAGATGTAAGGCTATAGGGCCATAGGGCTATAGGGCTATAGGCATGTAGAGCTATAGGGCCACAGGGCTATAGAGCTCTAGGGCTATAGGGCTATAAGGCTAGAAGGTTATAGGGCGGGTGGGCTATAGGATGATCGGGCTGTAGTGTTCTAGGGCTATTGGGCTATTGGGCTATTGGGCTATAGAGCTATACGGCTATAGGGTTATGGGGCTATAGGGCTATTGGGCTATAAGGCTATAGGGCTATTAGGGCTATAGGGCTGTAGGGCTAGAAAGCTATAGAGCTATAGGATTCTAAGACGATAGGGCTATAGGGCTATAAGGCTATAAGGCTATAAGGCTATAGGGCTATAGGATTATAGGGCTATTGGGCTACACGGTTACAGGTCTATGGGGCTATAGGGCTATAGGGCTATAATGAATGCTACCAGGCTATGGGGCAATAGGGCTATAGGGCTATACGGCTATAGCGCTATAGGGCTATAAGGCTAGAAGGCTATAGGGCTATAGGGCTATAGGGCTACAGGCCTACTGGGCAATAGGGCTATAGGGCTATAGGGCTATTGGTCTATACGGCTATAGATTTATAGGGCTATAGGAATATAGGGCTATAGGGCTATTAGGCTATAGGGCTATCGAAGTATAGGGCTTTAAGGCACCCAGGCACCGAGGCGGGCCGCGGGAATCGGTGACAAACCTCACCTAACCATATGAATTCGTAAAGACCCCTACAGAGACAAGCTGCAATTGGAGAATAAGTAGATATATTGATACATATATATATATATATATATAAAAAATGATACCGAAGAAAACCCGAACCATAATCTTTTTAGGGCTATAGGACTTTGGGGCTATAGGGCTGTAGGGCGATGAGGCAATTGGGATATAGAGCTATCGGGCCATAGGGTTATAGGGATATCGGGATATAGGGCTATCGGGCTATAGGGCAATGGGTCTATAGGGCTAAAAGGCTAGAAGCCTATAGGATTATAGGACTACAGAGATATAAGGCTATACGGGTATAGGGCTTCAGGGCTATAGGGCTATTGGTCTATGGGGCTATAAGGCTCTTAGGGCTATCGGGCTATTTGGACGATAGGGCTATATTGATATGAAGGTATAAAGCTATAGGGCTATAGGGCTATAGGGCTATAGCGCTATAGGGCTATTAGGCTATAGGGCTATAGGGCTACAGGGCTATAAGGCTTTAAGACACCCAGGCACCCGGGCGGGCCGCGGAAATCGGTGACAAACCTCACCTAATCAGATGAATCCGCTGGGACCCATGCAGGGACAAGCTGTAATTGGTACAGAAGCATACACGAATCATAATCTATAGGACTATGGAGCTATAGGGCGATAGGGCTATGAGGCAATCGGGATATAGGGCTGTAGGCCCATGGGGTTATAGGGCCATAGGGCTATCGGGCTATAGGGCGATGGGTCTATAAGGCTATAAGGGATTAAGGCTATAGGGTTATAGGGCTGTTGGGCTGTAGGGCTATAGGGCTCTGAGAGCTATATGACTATAGGGCTATCGGGCTATAGGGCGATAGGGATTATAGGGCTATAGGGCTATAGGGCTATAGGCCTATGATGCTATAAGGCTATAGGGCTATGGGGCTAGAATGCTACCGGGCACCCGGGCACCCGGGCACCTGGGCACCTGGGCACCCAGGCACCCGGGCACCCGGGCACCCGGGCACCAGGGCACCCGGGCACCCGGGCACCTGGGCGTGCCGCCGACATCGGCGGAGCACCTAACCTAACAATCTGATTCCGCTGGGACCCCTACAGAGGCAAGCTCTGATTGGGGGAATCGATATATAGATAGACACACAGACAGACAGACAGATAGATAGACAGACAGACAGACAGACAGATAGATAGATGGATAGATGTGTGTGTGTGCGCGTGCCGACCGTAGGCAAAAGGCTGGCTCGGCCAATACCGGTGCGGGTACACAGCTGGCGCCCTCCGAGCTCCTGCACTGGCTTCTGGAGCTTGAACAGCGGTCGCAGCGCCTTGACGGCGTTCAGCACCCCGGCGCGCACGTCCCCGAACACCCACAGCGGGCTCCCCGGCGGCAGCACGGAGGCGACGCCGTGCAGCGCGAGTTCCAGGGCCCCCGCGGAGTCGGGGCTGCGCAGCACGCACGCGTTGAACGGACCTTCCTGGAGGAACAAATACTGGCACAAGCATACACTTTCGAAGGTCAGTGCGGACATCTTGGACCTGCGCTGAATCAGGGCGTAAATAATGTAATGGTATGATTGTCACAGACTACATGATTCCAGCATTTCCAGAGTATCTAGCGACGCTCGTTTATGCAGCCCGTGAGGAGAATCAGCAAATATTGGGGTTGCTGATAAACTTGAAAGTCCTGGAACGTATCAATATCCTGACCTCTTGACCCTCTGATGGAGCGCCCCTCCCTGGCGCGCGGGGCGCCAGGGGCGGCGCCGGAGGCGCCGCCAGGGGACTCTGGCGCAAATCCGAAAGAAATCTGCGCGGACCCTGGAACATTCATGCCTGTGCTGCTTTCTCGTCTTCGGCGTCCGGCGGCCACGCGAGCGTGGACGCGCCCGCGACCCTCCCCGCCGCGAACCGCTTCCACGGCACCGGCGTGGCGCCCGCGCGCCGCAGCGCGCGCCGCACCTGCCGGCCCGGGCCCGCGACGAGCACCCGCCACCCGCGCGGCACCTGCCGGCCTCAGGGCGTGTGCCGGCCCCGAGGCCCGGGCGCTGCAATTTTTCAGCGGCTGCACGTGAGAGCTTTTTTTCCCCAGAGCGAGATGACACCACAGATGAGAAAAAAGACGCGTCTCAAATGCAACCTCTTTGTTGCACCATTCAAAGCAGGGTGCAACAAAACACGGGTGGCACTACAAATGAGGAGACCGGCTGCACGTGCAGCAGGGTGTCACTCTCACGTGCAGCAGACCGGCTGCACGTGCGAGTGACCCCGGGCAAGGGTGGCGTTTGGTGCGCGGCTGTAGGGGACCACGAGGGGGCCAAATCCAAGCGCGCCAGCCAGTGCAGGCGTAGCCCCTGTGGGTCTGCACCAGAGGTCTGTCTGGCGAAAGGTCATGCAGCCGATTTTCACACCAGGCGTTTTAGCTTGGTTTCGGGCCCCGGGACCATCACATATCGTTCTGGCTCGAAAAATGCCGCAGAAAGATGGAGTATGGGGCTCCAGTCGTGATTCTTCGCTATGTCTTAATTCTTTCACAATGTTGGATCCCAGGGAACATGTACTTGTCCAGCGAAGGCCTTCGATACGACGCAGTCCGTGCAGCGAGGGCCGATTCAGGCTGCGTGCTACCGATGGAACTCAACGTAGGTGAACCCTCACAGTGGGTTGATCCAGGGGACACACTGGGTTCCCAGACATCGGTATGACTTGTTCAACCCGCGCCCCAGAAGTCCCGACCGCTTTCCAGGGGGAGGTTCTTTGCCCTGGATCCATTTTTGATGATCCCGGGGCCCGATAATGGGCCCCAGAGGCCGAACTCGAGGAAAAACGTCCAGACTGATTATCCCGGCAAAGCAATCTAACAGCGATGTGTAGGAGCATATCTGGAAGCATTCTCTTTAAGATTCAGATGAGAAGCCATTCTGCTGTTCTCGCAGTCGTAGTCGCAATGACAGTCGCAGTCAGCAGTGCAGTCACAGCCTCAGCCTCAGCCTGCCTCAGCCTCAGTCTGCCTCAGCCTGCCTCAGCCTCAGCCTCAGCCTCAGCCTCAGCCTCAGCCTCAGCCTCAGCCTCAGCCTCAGCCTGCCTCAGCATCAGCCTGCCTCAGCCTCAGCCTCAGCCTGCCTCTGCCTCAGCCTCAGCCTGCTTCAGCCTCAGCCTCAGCCTCAGCCTCAGCCTGCCTCAGCCTCAGCCTCAGCCTCAGCCTGCCTCAGCCTCAGCCCTCAGCCTCAGCCTCAGCCTCAGCCTGCCTCAGCCTCAGCCTCAGCCTGCCTCAGCCTCAGCCTCAGCCTCAGTCTCAGCCTTCAGCCTCGCCTCAGCCTCAGCCTCAGCCTGCCTCAGCCTCAGCCTGCCTCAGCCTCAGCCTCAGCCTCAGCCTCAGCTCAGCCTCAGCCTCAGCCTCAGCCTCAGCCTCAGCCTGCCTCAGCCTCAGCCTGCATCAGCCTCAGCCTCAGCCTCAGCCTGCCTCAGCATCAGCCTGCCTCAGCCTCAGCCTCAGCCTGCCTCAGCCTCAGCCTCAGCCTGCTTCAGCCTCAGCCTCAGTCTGCCTTCAGCCTCGGCCTCAGCCTCAGCCTCAGCCTGCATCAGCCTCAGCCTCAGCCTCAGCCTGCCTCAGCAGCCTCAGCCTCAGCCTCAGCCTCAGCCTCAGCCTCAGCCTCAGCCTCAGCTTCAGCCTCAGCCTCAGCTTCAGCCTTCAGCCTCAGCCTCAGCCTCAGCCTGCCTCAGCCTGCATCAGCCTCAGCCTCAGCCTCAGCCTCAGCCTCAGCCTGCCTCAGCCTCAGCCTCAGCCTGCCTGCCTCAGCCTCAGCCTGCTCAGCCTCAGCCTCAGTCTCAGCCTCAGCCTGCCTCAGCCTCAGCCTGCCTCAGCCTCAGCCTCAGCCTCAGCCTCAGCCTGCCTCAGCCTCAGCCTCAGCCTGCTTCAGCCTCAGCCTCAGTCTGCCTTCAGCCTCGGCCTCAGCCTCAGCCTGCCTCAGCCTCAGCCTGCATCAGCCTCAGCCTCAGCCTGCCTCAGCATCAGCCTGCCTCAGCCTCAGCCTCAGCCTCAGCCTCAGCCTCAGCCTTCAGCCTGCCTCAGCCTCAGCATTCTCAAAATGTGGCCCGGGAATGGTGTTCTGGGAACTCGAAGAACACGAAGTGGCCTACAGTTGGCTCCGGGCATTCAAAATGTGGCCCGGGAATGGAGTTCTGGGGGAACACGAAGTTGGCCTACAGTTGGCTCCGGGCCCCCTGGGCACGAAGCGACGTTGGCTCCGGGCATCCAAAATGTGGCCCGGAATGGAGTTCTGGGAAGTCGAAGAGCACGAAGTGGCCTACAGTTGGCTCCGGGCATTCAAAATGTGGCCCGGGAATGGAGTTCTGGGAGGTCGAAGAGCACGAAGTGTGTGACTGTTTGCTTAAAACGAGCCCGGTTCTCGCCTGTCCGGCTCCCGCCCAGACCCCCCTGGGGAGTCATCAGATGCTCTCTTTTGACCCCATGAGAAAGCTATCAGTCGTCGCTGTTAGGTAAAAAACACAGCTCGTCAGAGATATGGGTGAGCACACGTCTTGAGGGTCATCGACACTAGAGGCCTCCCACATGGGGTCCGAGTAAATGGGGTCGGAAGATCGCGCCACATCGTCGATGCATCACCGATGCATATGTGATGCATTCTCGACATCGGCCGTGCATTGGCGACGTCAGCGTGCGGAAGATCGGGCTCCACATCGAGCCGCATCGCCGATGCATCGGCGATGCGGCGCGATCCTCCGACCCCATCTAACCACTCCAGACCCCATCTGGGAGGCCTAGAACATCGTCGGAGATCTGGGTCAGCACACGTCCTGAGGGTCATCAACACCTGCCCCAGCAGCGGCCCCACCGCGGCGCGCGCCGCGAGGTCATGAAACTCCTGCAGGCGATCAGCATCTTAGCAATGCCACTGCTCACGCCCGGACCCCACGAGGGGCCAGAGCGGCGGCATGGGTAAAACTCTGGCCTCGGGAGCCATACTTTTGTATGAATGCCCTGTCTGGAAAGAAAAACCGGGGACCATGACCAAGACCGAGCGCGAAAACGTCGTGCCCATCTTGGTCACCGTCCATGTTGGTCAGCGCCGCTCCGCGGTCGTGGATCATCCTCGCGAACCGGCGACGGCCAGCACGAACCTCGACCAAGATCGGCATCGACAAGATCCCGCGACATCTTGGCCATGGCCGGTGCGCTTCTGCCCCCGACTGCTGCCCATGGCGCCCACAGTGGGGGACAGCAGACGGGGGCAGAGCATCGAACGTCGACCGCCGATCCTGGCTGCTCGCATTCACGCGCTCGGCCTCCGCCGCGCACCGGCGCGCGAGGGCGGCCAGCAGCCGTGGGCTCCTGCGGCCTCCGGCGAGCCGCATGGCGTAGTCGAGGTGCGCCACCGAGAACCAGTTGAGGTCCTCCGAGACCACGCGCGCGCGCGAGAAGAGCGCCTCTGGAGGAGGAACAAAAAAAGCCCCGAGAGCACCACAACCTGCGGGAGCTCCGCGAGGAGTTCTTGGATCGGCACTGGACCCTCCCTCCTGCGCCGCCAAGGGGGGGGTCTGGCGCCGATCCAAGAAACCCGCGCGGAGCTCCAAAAGGTTTATGTTTAGGTCGGGCATGTCCTCCTTAGATTCAATAATAATCAAAGAAAATTCAATCATAGTCCAAAATGACAAGAAAATCATCCCCATACTATTTTTTTGCTATTTTGAATATCCCTCCAATGGGGGGACACGCCCGATTCAAGTTCACGTTAAGTATACCGTATGTTCTTCTTCGAGCCTTGGCGGCCGCGCCCCACCCCCGCGGCCGCAGCGTCGCCAGGGCCCACGCCGAGGTGCCGACCTCCTGGGGGCCCGTGTCCTCCACGAGCTGCCGCGAGCCCTCCGACAGCAGCTCCGCCACGCCCGCCAGGGCGGCCCGCGCCCGGGCGCCCAGTGCGGCGTGCCCGTGGAGCTTCGCCAGCGCGGTCAGCAGCCGTACGGCGCGGCGGGCGCGCAGCTGCGGGGCGAGCTCCCTGGCCCTGAGCAGCAGCTTCTCCAGCAGTGAGCAGCCCTGGGGAGGGACCCACTGCAGAGTGCCGAAGGACCACAGCAGGTTGACAACGAGGTCCTTGCCCTCTCTGCTGAGGTCCAGCTCGGCCGCGTGGGCGCACAGCGCCTCGAACATGGGCTCCTCCATCTTCTTGAACTTGGCGAACGACCAGATTATCTGCGCCACGTCGCGGCCATTCAGCTTGTCAAGCTGCCACCAGGCTGCGCGACCTATCTCGTCCAGCAGGGGCTCCATGAACACGCCCAGGCGGGCGTAGGCCGCCGCCACGGTGGCCAGGCCCTGCGGCGTGAAGTCTGCGGAACCGCTGAGCACCCTGTCGCTCATCGCCGACATGAGCTTGCTGTCCTGCACGCCGAAGCGCGCCTGGAGGAACAAAAAAACTGCATAAAAGTTCTTTCACGGAGCTCCACGCGGACTTCTCGGATCGGCGCTGGACCCCCCTCCCCGGCGCGCGGAGCGGCTGCGCCGCAGGTGCCGCCAGGGGGCCCAGGCGCCAATCCCAGACATCCGCGCGGAGCTCCGAGAAATTATCTACGTGTCACTTCTTGTTCTTCGAGCGCCAGGGCCCACAGGAGGCTGGAGACCTCCTGCGGAAGGAAGTCGGCAGCCGAAGGCCCGCGGGCGCACCGCGCCAGCCGCGCTGCCAGCGCTCGGCTGCCCTCCGGGCCCGCGACGAGGGGCAGCCGCACCAGCGCCCACGCCAGGTTCGCCACCCCCTGCCGGTCGAGGCCGACGACCCGGGCGTGCGCCGCGGCAACCAGGGCGTCCGCCGCGCCGCGGTCCCTGCAGCCCAGCTTGGCCAGCGCGTGCGCTGCCGTCGCCACCGACCTGGCCTCTGAGCGGCGTCTCACCGATCCCTGTCCCCACTGGCGCGGCCCTCGCCCCGCTGGCCGACGTGCCCACCTGGGAGGGGATGCACGCCTCTTCCTGCGGCTTTCGCGGGGCCTGCGGTGGGCTGGTGGGCCCGAGATGCCGTGGCCCAGTGGGGATGGGGACAGGTTCAACGATTCTGAGCCTCGTGGTGGGCCGACACCGGGGGCGGCTCCACGAGCTCCACGGTCCGCCGCAGCAGCGCGCGGAAGGCCGGGAGCTCGAAGAGCTCCTCGCGGCGCCCGTTGTCGGCGCCCTCGAAGAGGCGCGCGAGACGGCTGAGGGCGGTCGCGGCATTGATGACGTTGAAGTCCGGGGCACGCCGCTCGACGAGCTCCAGGAGGGCCTCGGCGCCCCACCCGGCGGCGCGGGTCACCTCGCTGTTGAGCCACGCCATGCCCCCCCCCGCCCAGGGCGCGTCCGCGGGCGCGCCCCGCGCCCTCCCCGATAGACAGCAAGGGCGCCGCCCTGCCAAACACTCCAGCGTCGGGGAGCAAGCCCTGTCGGTGCTTTCCGACACCGCAAACAATGTCTCCGTGGGCCGGTCTCGGGTCCCCCAGGGCCATCAAGAGATGCCCCATGGTGACCAAAACGGCACCACAAGATCGGGTCGAGAGCTCCACGGTCCACGAGTACCTCCCCCCTCCGCCAGAGTCGAGCCCTCAACGCGTTTCCTACATCCCTTCTGCCCTACTCCCTTCGCTCTCCTCCTGCCACGCACGCGCCCCCTGACACCTCACACCCTCCTCCAGACGGTCGCTACCCCCCCTAACCCCCTCCCCCCATCCACTTTCTTCTTCAAGCAACCACGTGTGAACCCTGCCTCCAGCCCTTTGGGCCGTGATTGGTTCAGGGAGTTCCTTCTTCCAGCCCACCGTCATCCCCTTCGGGGAGGGGTTTATCACTGCTCCCTATTAAAATACACCCCATCCCCCAGGCGACTGGCAGCCAACCAGGAACAATGCCGACCCTATGCTCCCCATCCCCCAACCATCCCTGTCAAAAAACAATACAAAACACACTCTGCCTCCAAATTCGGAGCCTGCGCAACCAACCCGATGCGCTCCCCCCACCATCCCCGTCAAAACACAAGACTCTCGCTTCAGCTCCGCGCACACTCGTCTTGAAAGTCTGCAAGAGCTTCATGGGTGAAAGCCAATTCATGTTCAAAAAGTGGTTCCCGCCTGAGCGCCGCGTACACTCGTATTACAAACTTGCAGCGATTACAAGGGTGGGGGCGGCTCCTTTTCAAAATAGGGCTCTCGCAATACCGACGCGCGCAGTCGTCCTGAAACTTGCCACAGATTCAAGGATACAGGCCGCTCCGTTTTCAAAATGCAGCTTTCGCCCTGACGCCGTTCACCTTCGTCCTAAAAATTTGCAACAGCTCAAAAACGCGGATCCCATCACTGCGACGCACACATTCGTCAAAATACCTGAAGCAGCTTCAGAGATGGAGGACGGGTGGCTCAATGCGGCTCTCGCATTGGCACAAATCACATTCGTCTGAAAAGCTTACAACAGTTACAAGGGTGGGGGCGGTTCCATTTCAAAATGGGGCTCTCGCGTTAGCGACGCGCACATGCGTCTCCAAAGCGTACAGCAACTGCAAGCATGGAGGACGACTCCTTTTCGAAATGACGCTCTCGCTTGAGACCTCCTCGAGCTCAAAAAGAAAAACCTGAACATATTCAACACGATGAAAAACGGCGCCTTCTCAAAAATGGGCTCTCGATGAAGGCTTCCTCAGATCTAGCTACCCTAAATGTGCTCTGTGCAGCCGTTGCACGGACAGGGGGGGGGGCTCCTCTTCAAAACTGGGTTTTCGCTGGACACCTCACTTTCCGATCCTATGTTGCCGCGTCCCTTATCGCTCGGCGAGAGTATGTAAGGCAGCTCCGTTTCAGAAATGGGATCTCGCCTAAATGGCAGGCCCATCGGATGCTGATATTTCAAGGATTATTTTCCTGTAGTGAAGGGAAAAGCCTGTTATCGACGTGGTTTTCCCAACCATCCTGTGGTGTTGGGTCCTCGGTTTGAAGAGACAGCGCCCCGCGTCCTACCTCCTCCTCCTCCTCTCTCCTCCCCCTCCTCCCTCCTCCCATCATCATCATCATCATCATCATCATCATCATCATCATCATCATCATCATCATCATCATCATCATCATCATCATCATCATCATCATCATCATCATCATCATCATCATCATCGTCACCGTCATCACCCACTTCGGCACACCCCTCACACGTTTCGTGGCCCCATAGGGAGCTCCACCGAAGGCCCGAGGGCTGCCGCCCGCATGCGTCCCCACACCCATTTCGGCACACCCCTCACACGTTTCGTGGCCCCATAGGGAGCTCCACCGAAGGCCCCATGGCTGCCGTCCGCATGCGTCCCGCACACCCATTTCGGCACACCCCTCACACGTTTCGTGGCCCCACAGGGAGCTCCACCGAAGGCCCCAGTGCTGCCGTCCGCATGCGTCCCGCACACCCATTTCGGCACACCCCTCACACGTTTCGTGGCCCCACAGGGAGCTCCACCGAAGGCCCCATGGCTGCCGTCCGCATGCGTCCCGCACACCCATTTCGGCACACCCCTCACACGTTCGTGGCCCCACAGGGAGCTCCACCGAAGGCCCCAGTGCTGCCGTCCGCATGCGTCCCGCACACCCATTTCGGCACACCCCTCACACGTTTCGTGGCCCCATAGGGAGCTCCACCGAAGGCCCCATGGCTGCCGTCCGCATGCGTCCCGCACACCCATTTCGGCACACCCCTCACACGTTTCGTGGCCCCATAGGGAGCTCCACCGAAGGCCCCAGGGCTGCCGTCCGCATGCGTCCCGCACACCCATTTCGGCACACCCCTCACACGTTTCGTGCCCCACACAGGGAGCTCCACCGAAGCCCCAGGCTGCCGTCCGCATGCGTCCCGCACACCCATTTCGGCACACCCCTCACACGTTTCGTGGCCCCATAGGGAGCTCCACCGAAGGCCCCATGGCTGCCGTCCGCATGCGTCCCGCACACCCATTTCGGCACACCCCTCACACGTTTCGTGGCCCCATAGGGAGCTCCACCGAAGGCCCGAGGGCTGCCGCCCGCATGCGTCCCGCACACCCATTTCGGCACACCCCTCACACGTTTCGTGGCCCCATAGGGAGCTCCACCGAAGGCCCCATGGCTGCCGTCCGCATGCGTCCCGCACACCCATTTCGGCACACCCCTCACACGTTTCGTGGCCCCATAGGGAGCTCCACCGAAGGCCCCAGTGCTGCCGTCCGCATGCGTCCCGCACACCCATTTCGGCACACCCCTCACAACGTTTCGTGGCCCCATAGGGAGCTCCACCGAAGGCCCACATGGCTGTGCGTCCGCATGCGTCCGTCCCGCACACCCATTTCGGCACACCCCTCACACGTTTCGTGGCCCCACAGGGAGCTCCACCGAAGGCCCCCAGTGCTGCCGTCCGCATGCGTCCCGCACACCATTTCGGCACACCCCTCACACGTTTCGTGGCCCCATAGCTCCACCGAAAGGGCCCCATGGCTGCCGTCCCATGCGTCCCGCACACCCATTTCGGCACACCCCTCACACGTTTCGTGGCCCCATAGGAGCTCCACCGAAGGCCCCATGGATGCCGTCCGCATGCGTCCCGCACACCCATTTCGGCACACCCCTCACACGTTTCGTGGCCCCACAGGGAGCTCCACCGAAGGCCCCATGGCTGCCGTCCGCATGCGTCCCGCACACCCATTTCGGCACACCCCTCACACGTTTCGTGGCCCCACAGGGAGCTCCACCGAAGGCCCCAGTGCTGCCGTCCGCATGCGTCCCGCACACCCATTTCGGCACACCCCTCACACGTTTCGTGGCCCCATAGGGAGCTCCACCGAAGGCCCCATGGCTGCCGTCCGCATGCGTCCCGCACACCCATTTCGGCACACCCCTCACACGTTTCGTGGCCCCACAGGGAGCTCCACCGAAGGCCCCAGTGCTGCCGTCCGCATGCGTCCCGCACACCAGGTGTGTGGCGTGCCGACATGGGCGTCGCGGCGCGCGGGCGCTGCCGTCGGGGTTCCCAGGGAAGCCCCCTGCAGAGGCGACGCTCAGAGTCACGAGTACCGAGAGTCACGCAGACCCAAACTGTTCACAGTCGTATACATACATTTACACTGGGCGTATCCATGCACGCATTCATGCGAATAGAATCAATCGCGCGCAGATTCATTCATAATCAGACTCGCTCGCGATCCGACTCGCACGCGCTCAAGCTTTCATATTCGGACCTATCGTCTTCGTTCGTGTTGTGTACACTGCCACGAATTTCGGCACACCCCTCATACGGCTCGTGGCCCCATAGGGAGCGCCACCGAAGAAGATATTCACAATTGCGGTACTCTCAACTGCATATGGTTGGGTCCTTCGCCAGGCTAATTTTTTGGGGGGGGGCCTAGGACAGCAGGATGCTTTGAGGCATCCTTGGCGCATCCTGGGATTGCTCTGGAAATCCTCCTCCTCTCCCTCGTCCGGTCCCTACTCCTTCTCTCCCCTCCCCCCTCACCATCACCAGCAGTAGCACGACCATCACCACCACGAGCATTACCCACTTTCTTTTCCTTACCGTTTTATCATCGTCATTATCGTCATCACCATCATCACCATCATCATCATCAGCAGCAGCATCATCACCATCATCAGCAGCAGCATCATCATCACCATCATCATCACCTTCGTCATCATCACTCTGCCGTCTCCTTCCGCGGGCAGACGGCGCAGAGGTTTCCTCGAGGAGCTCCCTCACGGTCACGGGCGTCTTGACAACGTCAGCTGGGCCACCATCTTCGCGCTCGCGGATGTCACGACCGCCACTGCCCCGCCCAGGCCAGGCCGAGAAGAGCCAGAGTAAGGACGAAGGAGGAAGGGGAGAATGAGAAGGCGGAGAGAAGAGAAGAGAAAGACGGAGAGCAGGAGAAGGAGGAGGAGAAAGACGGCGGACGGCGAGGAGGGGCAAGACGAGGAGGAGCAACACGATGACGTGAAGCAGCAAGAAATGGCATAGAAGGAAGAGGATGGGAAGGATGACAACGACGAGGAGGGGCAGGATGACGAGAGAAAGAGGAGAAGGCGGAGGAGAGGCGACTGAGACCTCGGTGTCGGGATCCTGGACCCTGGCCGGATTCGACTTTTTGAATCAAAAACGCTGCTGAGGACCATGAGTAGGGGACCTGAGGACACCCGACTCCGTGCCAGCCGGGGAGATGCATCCTGGAGTCTGGTCAAAATTCATTCCTCGTTCCTCCTGTTTCGCAACCCTGTTTCTAACTGTCTAACTGTTTCTCCTCCCCCCCCCGAGTTCTTCTCCCACCTGACATATAGGAAGGGTTGTCTAGTCGTTACATAACCGAACCAGGCTCCGACTGGTCCTTCCTTGCGACTCATACTAATCCAACGAGAGACTTACACCACAGCAA